TATAGTTGTTCTCTGTCGCCATCTATTGGAAATTTATAAAAAGTTGAAATGCAGGAAAAATGACGTCCTCCAGAAACCAGGGACAAAGACCACTATGTTTTCTATCATCCTTAAGGTGGACAGTTGTGTCTAAAAGACTATTTGTATTAAATCATTCACTTCTTACAGTTCATGTTTTAGGAGGGAAGCTTGTTTTTAAATAATTCTATCGGTTGTCTCTAACATGTATCGATTAATTAGAAATAAAACACAATGATAATTACTATCATTATTGTTGATATAATTCTTAGAATCATCATCACTTGATAGCTCTGTGGTCCAGTTCAAGCTTTTTTTTTTTATTGGGGTCTGAAATACAAATTGGATTCCCAAATAATTGAATTTGTCTGCAAAGCATTGAGTTTTTTGGTTTCCAAAGTAAGATTTTATTCGGATGCAAAAATAAAATAAATAAATAAATAAAAAAGAATAGTGGTCCTTTAGTTTGTCTGTTTTTTTTCCGCCATGGAGTCTTTATTCTTCACATTTGGAGTTAAACTATACGTAAACCCGTATTATGAAGCTCCAGGTTATAAAAGGCGCACAAAAACAAGCAGAAAAATCTAATAAAGAAATAAGAACTCAGAAAATTGTGTCACTTTAATGATATAAAAGTCACTTTGTGCCACTTTGATTATATAAAAGGGGGCAAAATATGTGGTATACCAAGCTGTGGTGTCACCAAGAAGCTGGTTGTGGTGCCCACTGTAAGAAATGGATCCTGAGTTTCCTGGGCACAAACTGTACTTTTTTTTTTTTTTAGGTGTAGCAGAATGCATCTTAATTTTTTATCTATTTCAAAACTTTTTTGTGTGCGTGTGTCCTTTTTTCTTATGACTTTTTCTTATTGCCTGGGAGTGATTGGAGGTCGTTTTGTTGTGTTTTTTTGTTTTGTTTTTATAACTCAAGGGAATTGTATGGTTTGGTTTTATATGCATCACATTGTAAATGTATGGCTATGCAATTCTTGTTAAAAACCAAATAAACAAAGTTTGAAAAAAAGAAAAAAAAGAAATGGATCCTGAGTTTAATAATGACAGTTTGGGGATTTAAATGAACTCTTGATGTATGGACACAGATACAGATATTGTGTTTGAAACACTCACACAAGTTGTGTGTTACCTGTGACCTGTTTCAAACCCACCGATCTGGACATATCAGTCACCTGTGGCTTTTCCCAGTCCAGCGTGGGCAGAAAAGCAGCTGGAAAAGCCAAAAAGGAGCTCACTGCTTTTTCTAACAACGTACGTGGACCGATCATACGCTCAAATCCACGTTTCTAGGACCAGACTTTGTGGTGACACTTGTGTTGTACAAAAGATGACACCACTGTGGAGTCTTTTCTTCCTCATTGTCGCATCACATGGTAAGTTAGTTTAATTCAAATTTCCTGAAGGGGGGATTTATTTTGAAAGGTTTGCTCTCTTTAATTTCCATTTGAGTCTGTCTGTATGATATATTGTATAATAAATGGGTCCCAATTCTACTTCATAGCCAAGTAAGTGAGATACGTAGACTCTGCCATTTCTGGCTTTGCAAGTTTTTTACTATTTGGTCCAATTTTTATGTAAATAAATTGTGGTCTTTATTCAAAATTTGCATCAAAGATGACTTTCGCAGCCTTAACAAACTTTATTCATACTCAACTAATGCGACTTTTCTGGTTGCGTGATCTAGAAAGTGAGCACATCCGTTTCAAACATTAAAAAAAACATCTGTTGCGCTTTTTTCAACTGTATTTGTGTCGTTGATATGCATGAAAAATAACTTAACTTAGTTAACTTACCAGCATCACATGGTAAGTTAAGGGGAATTTTTTCCACCTTTCATTTAAAATTCCTGAAGGGGGGATTTATTTTGAAAGGTTTGCTTTCTTTAATTTCCATTTAAGTCTGTCTGTCTATTGTATATTAACTGGTTCCCAACTACTTTATAGCCACGTAAGTGAGAAACTTAGATTCAAACCCTAACCCTAACCCAACTTTTATGTAAATAAATTGTGCTCTATTTTGAAATTTTGCTTAGAACATGACTTTCCCTGTCTTAACAAACTTTATTTAGTGGGTATTCCGGTTGCATGATCTAGAAAGTGCGCACATCCGTTTCAAACATATGGAAAACACATCTGTTGCACTTTTTCAACTATAATTGTAGTTGATATGCACGAAAAATCTGGTGTTTTCCGACAAAAGTCCAAAACCGGTTCTGAAAATGGGAGAAATGGTGGCTGGATGAGGTCATTTTTGGTCATTTTGCACTCTATGTCACGTCTGGGGGAATGTCTGGTGTGTTGTCATGTCTTGATTACCTATTGTGTACACCTGGGGTTCCCCTCCCTCGTGTTTAAATAGTCCTCGTTTCCCATGTCCTGTGCGAGTAAGTTTTCGTCTTTTGTCCTTCTTGTTTCGTCTGTCTGTTTTCGTCACCCCTTGCCACGTAAGGTTTGATTTTGTCACAGCCTTGTTTACTTTACTGCCATAGTCTTGTTTTGTACCATAGCCACATTTTTGTCATAGCCATGTTTTACCACAATTTTGTTAATCTTGCCATAGCCTTGTTTTCTCTTTCTTTGATACTTTGATCATAGTTTTTGGAACCTTGTTCTGTCATCCACTCCGTTTTTGTTCAAATAAACCTTTTTCCACATCTCCACGACTGAGTCCTCCCTCCAAGACTCACCTTCCTGACACTGTTTCCCTAACCCTAACCCTAACCCCAGCGGCTGAGGTGTGCTACGATGAGCTGGGCTGCTTTGACGACTTCCCTCCGTGGGGGGGGACCCCACAGAGACCGGCCCCCGCTCTGCCCTGGACCCCCGCAGCCATCGGCACTCGCTTCCTCCTCTTCACTCCGAAGAACCGCTACTACCAGGTTAGGCACAGGTCTGAATGGGGTTAGCTGGGCAACGGCAGGCCTAAGTCCTGCCAATTGTGTGTGAAAAGCAATAAAGTTGACAATCTGGCCACACAAGGACATGGGTGAAGATTAAGATCCCCACTAGCCATTGATACATACAACCTAGCACTAAAAAGAAACTGGACATGGAAAAGTTAACTTTAACCCTAACCCCTAAACCCTAACCCTAAACCATAAACCCTAACCCTAAACCTAAACCTAAACCTAACCCTAAACCAAAAAAGAAACTGGACATGGAAAAGTTAACCATAAACCCTTACCCTTACCCTAACCCTAAACCTAAACCTAAAAAGAAACTAAACATGGAAAAGTTAACCTTAACCCTAAACCCTTACCATTACCCTAAACCAAATCCCTAACCCTTACCCTAATTCCTACCCCTAACACCAACCCTAAACTCTAACTCCTAAACCCTAAATCCTAACCCTAAGCCTAACCCCTAACCCTAAACCACTGTTTAAACATCCTAATCAGTTCTAGTTCTGTGAAAAAATAATTTAAAAACTGCTGACAAACAATATATTTCACACACTGCATGAATGCTAATGAAATCAGTTATCCAATGAATGAATGAAGACTCATAAAACTATCTCAGTGGTATATGATGTAGAATTTAAAAAGAAAACAAAAAGAAAATAAATAAAATGAAAGCTTGTGCAATTTCTGTGCCGGATGAATCCTTTTGCTGAGGGATAATACTGAGAATGCTTCTAACATACTGAAAGAGCTTTTCCATAAAGTGTGAAGAATTACAATTAGGAGAATGTATGAACTACTAAACAATACACGGTTAACAATTATGTTTATGCTATTTTTATCTGACATAGCCTTAGAAGCTGGAAATGAAAATAGCAGATCTATTTCCAGGTGTGAGATTATCCCCCATCCTGGTTTAGTTAATATCATCTGCTTGGTTAAGTTTAGGCTCAAAGACATTCTTTTTACCATGCTTTTCACCACCAACCATGATTACTAATTTATACTGACTGTGAATATTGTGTCATTCAAATTGTCAGGAGATCAAGCCTGATGAAAGCATGGAGGCGTCCAATTACAGCGGCCGGAGAAAGACCCGGTTTGTCATTCCTGGTTATTTGGTTAAAGGAGATGAGGACTGGCCACAGACCATGTGTAAGGTAAGGTATGTGTAAGGCCTTCACATGCATCCGAAAAGAAAAACCGAGGTGAAAAGAAGGTCTTTTCTGTGGTCCTCATGTCAAATCCAGCATGCCAAAATTCCACCCATTAGTAAAAACAGAAATGTATAAGCTTAGATGACCATAATCACTATAGATCCATATAAAAACAGCCGGGCTGGTGGCTAAAAACGGCTCTAGATCTCAAAATGATTCAAATGTTCTATTGGAGATGATGGATTTTTACATACTGATAACTGTTGCAGTCGGATTAAACAATTCTTCCTCAAGATTAGCTTGAAATTTGAACTCAGCTTTGATTCTTCTCGGCCTTTAACCCTGATCTCATCTTTTCTTTTTGGGATTGGGCTTGATTTCAAATTCATTTGCACATTGGAAATCAAAGCGGTGCTAATGCCGGAGTTCTTAAAATCTGGATTCTTTTGGGGTTTTACTGTCAAATAACAAATCTAAGTTTGATGAAACTTTTCTGTTCTATCATTATATTCTTTTAAGTTTTTCTGCTTTTGATGGCTCTGTGTATTGATGACAAGCATAACTGTAGAATATAAGACCTGATGCTATTTCTTTTTTAGGTCTGACATCACGTTTCTTTTACGTCTTCTTGACTAGTTCTTGCTAGTTGTACTCTCTGACTTCCCTTTATTTCTAATTTTTAACTGAACTTAATAAATATTTGTTAATAACTTGGTAAATAAGTGAAAGGAGATCACACATTACTGCCACTTTCTCCTAAAATGAAATGCTTTATCACAAATCCAGAGTTGAACTGAGGTCATATGGATGGTGTGGGAGTGATTTGGGCTGCTGTTGTCAGGGAGGTGGATCTTGGAGGGAAGACTCAGTCGCGGAGATTCAGAAAAAACGGGTTTATTGTAACATAAAACGCACTCACGAAGAGTGAATGTCCAGACAAAGTTTAAAAAACAAGGCTGTGGCAAAACTATGACTATGGCAAAGTAACAAAATAAAGATGAACAGAACTGTGGCAAAACATGGCTAAGGCAAAAACATGGCTATGGAACAAAGTAAATAAGACTATGGCATGGAGCAAAAGCAAAACCTTACGTGACATGGGGAGACGAAAGACAAAAATACACTCACAAAGAGTGGATGAGCAGACAAGGTTAAAAAACAAGGCTGTGGCAAAACTATGAGCAAAGTAACAAAGCAAGGTTAACAAAACTGTGGCAAAGTATCAAAACAAGACTATGGCGAAAGTACAAACAAGATTAACATGGCTGTGGTCAAAACAAGGCTATGGCAAGGCTGTGACAAAAATAAGGCTATGGTACGAAAAGCTAGACTGTGGCAAAATATCAAGGAGTAAACAAGGCTATGGCAAAGTAACTAAATAAAGATGAACAAAACTGTGGCAAGGCTGTGGCAAAACATGGCTATGGCAAAGGGCAAATAATCAAAACTTTACATGACGTGGGGAGACGAGAGACGAAAGACGAAAACGAACTAGCACAGGACATGGGAAACGAGGACTATTTAAACACACGAGGGAGGGGAACCCCAGGTGTACACAATAGGTAATCAACACATGACGACACACCAGACATTCCCCCAGACGTGACAGCTGTGTTTGTTTGGTGTGTGGTGTAAACCTCCGTATGGCTGCTGTGTGCTCCAGGCGGTGGTCCAGAGGGAGAACGTGAACTGCATCGCCGTGGAGTGGAAGAACGGGGCCCGGACTCGCTACGCCCAGGCTGCCAACAACGCCAGGGTGGTGGCGGCCCAGGTGGCCTCCATGATCACTTTCCTCATGGTAAACACACTCCAAACGAACAAACTCAAGCTGCAGAATGCAGGAAGCCTCAGATTTCCAGTTAAAAGGGAGAAACTGACCAACAAATTTAGACTTACTATCACCTTTTAGGGACAAATATTACCAGAGGAACTCTGTGAACTTTGTTTCTCAGTGATTACTATTAATATGGTGACATTAAACTACAAAAAATACAAAAAGCAGCTGTCAGAACTCATGGAGTGCAAAACTGTGAAAGTGACAGCATATAAAGAAAAACTAATTACACAGTCGAAACACATTTTTGGGGAGATCAAAGGTCATAATAACGCCATGGACCATTGAGCAGTCATTGGCCGAGGGGCAGGGTTAGGGTTAGCCTTGTAAAGTTTAGTAGAGATGTTCCTTGAATTTGGTCGGACTCGGATAATAAAGGACGATCAAAGCTGATAACACGGAGAAAAGACGGTATTTGTGCTGACTTGACTTTCGTGTAAGCGACATCGAAATCGAGTCGAAGCATCACAAGCATATCACAGCAGAATCCTAAGGAAATAAAAATTCCTATCTGCACACCCTGGATGGCGAGTATTCAACAGGGTGTTAATTACAGTTTTATTAACAAACCCCCGTTGTGGATTCAGGGCCACTACAACCAGAACGCCGGCCATTTCCACATCATCGGACACAGCGTGGGGGCTCATGCTGCTGGGGAGGTGGGAACCCGCATCCCCGGTCTGGCTCGCATCTCAGGTGAGCTGACCGCTCAGAGAGGAGCCAGACTCCCAACCGCACACGCTCCTGGTCATTCACAAGCAGTGTTGGGGAGTAACGGATTACATGTAACGACGTTACGTAATTTAATTACAAAAAAAGAGTAACTGTAATTCGTTACAGTTACAATGAGAAAATATGTAATTCAGTTACAGTTACTTCCGAAAATATTAAGAATTACAAATATAGTTACATTTTTTAGAAAATATAAAGAAAAACCTTTGCGAAATATGCAACTCACTGATAGACGAAGCATATTGATTTACTGTTTGGTGTTGATGCATGACAAACGTTTATCGATGTCTATGACCTAGCCTAGCCTAGCCTACCTAGCCTACCCAACTGTAGCGCGACCAGACGTCCTCTTTTTCCCGGACATGTCCTACATTTCAGACTAGGGTTGTCAAAAGTATCGATACTTAAAAAAGTATTGATACTAAAATGTTGTATCCGGATACGATACTCATTTTCAAAAGTATCGATACCCCCCCCTTCTCTCTGATTTATTTATGTATTTATTTACGTTGTGTATGATCATTAACAAGGCGTTAGCCTTGAACTGCTAGCTGCGGCCAATAGGTAATAATAATAACTATTAATAACTAATAATTAATGCTAAAATTAATCATGGGTCAATACTCATTAAAACCTTCAAGTAATCAAAAGCAATTAGTTACATTACTTTTTAAAAGTAATCGAAAAAGTTACACTACAATGACATTTCAAACAAGGTAACTTGTAATTGTAACGGATTACATTTTTAAAGTAACTCACCCAACACTGTTCACAAGGCAAGGCAAGGTTATCTGTGTGGCACATTTTGTGTACAAAACAATTCAAAGTGCGTCACGAAGGATTTAAAAGCATAAACACAACAAGAGAAAAAGAATCGATAATTACAAAAATTAGATGGATAAAAAGTGAACATCCATTTAGTTTCCATCTGCATAGTTAAACAGAATCGTTTTCAGCCTGGAGTTCAACGTTGTCAGAGTTGGGGCTTGAAATGAAGCTTCTCCTTGTTTAGTTCTGACTCTGGGCCCCATCAGGAGACCAGAACCTGGTTTA